TTGCAAAAGTATGAGAAGTGAGAAGTTTAAGAAAGTTTTAGTTTGAAAATATTTTGAAGATGGTTAAACAAATTTTAAACCTCCTGTTTTTGAATTGAGTTTTCTTGAAATAAATTTTACTCAAAGTAGCACGCAACAGTTTCATACACTCAGCGAAGCGGGTAAGGGCGATCTAGTTCTTATATAAATTCAACAAATATCGAGCATTTTAAGGCAAAAAATTGTTGAAAAAATTTGCAAATTTTGTTTATTACCAAAATTCTCGAAAACCACTCGAATGATTTTGTTTTTGTTTTCCTTAATCAAGTAATTCAAGTTTTTTCCTTTCGTTTGGTATATGGGAAGTATTGGTTGATATCTTCTAAGTATGTTTATTTTATTAATATATATGGGCATAAATGATTTTCCATACAAAATCACTTCGTCATCATCTTGCAAACACGTGCATGCGGTATTTACAACCTAATCATAGCGTATGTATGTAAATACATACATACGTACATATTTTGATTTAAGTTTGTGGATATATTTTTCTTTTAGTAGATACTCTATGTATGTATGTATGTATTTATGTACATATGAATGCATAATACGCGAAAACTTTTTCGTCACATCAGATCTGTACCGTTCGTTCGATTTTAAAAAATGAGGTATCAAATTAAAGGGCTTGGCCTGTGGATGTGCAGTAACTTCTTACTTTTTCAAAAAGAAATGCCACCCGATAAAAAAATGAAATTCAAATTATTTTTAAGTTAAATCAATTATTACACTATGAGTATCGATCGAAATGGTTTTGAAAAGGCTTTATTTCTTAATTGTATGTAGTAGGATTGCCAACTGTTTCAAAAAGTAAGCTCGGCTTAAATAAAGGCAGAAAACTGAAATGTATATCCTGATATGGATGTCAGACGAAAGAGGTTGTGGTTTGAAAATATTTTGCAGAGGGTTGCCACCTTGTTACAAAAATAGATTCAATATAAGCAATAGGTTAAATAAATTCCTCAATGTGAATATAAATCAAAATTGCTTTGAAGAAACTTAATTTTGAAACTGCATGTGGGAGTGTTGCCACCTGATTTTATAATTAAATTCAAATTGAATTAAGAGGATATGTATGACAATACAAGTGTCAGAAGAAAACGGTTTAACGAGGTTTTGGTTTTAAAATAATTTGAACAGGATTGCCATACTTATAGTCCTTTTTCAAAAAATCTGAAAAAATACAGTACACTTCATACAAATATAGAATTTTCTTTAAAATAAAAAGTAAAAACGCAATTTAAGCATACATCTTTTTCTTTCTTATGCATTTCCCTTACAAAAAATATATTTCTT